GATCTGCTGTGGTGATTCTACTGTTGCTATTCTATAGTGTGTATTACACTTTACTATAGTACAACACTATAGTGGTGTTTTACCCTGTCGAAGTGTGTGAAGGAGGATCTGAAGTCGTTGAGTTGTTTCTGGCTGATTCCTTTAGCGTCGCGGGTCATGATCTGAGTCTCGATCTCGTTGATGGTGCGAGCGATGGTGGTCAGAAGAGACTCCCAGCCCACACGGATGTGCTGCAGGACACACACACACACACACACACACACACACACACACACACACACACACACACACACACACACACACACACGAACAAAGGTCTATGTACTCTACTGCAGCATCCCACACATCCCATGTCTGTGTGTCTGTGTGTGTGTGTGTGTGTGTGTGTGTGTGTGTGTGTGTGTGTGTGTGTGTGTGTGTGTGTGTGTGTGTGTGTGTTCCGCAGCACATCCGTGTGGGCTGGGAGTCTCTTCTGACCACCATCGCTCGCACCATCAACGAGATCGAGACTCAGATCATGACCCGCGACGCTAAAGGAATCAGCCAGAAACAACTCAACGACTTCAGATCCTCCTTCACACACTTTGACAGGGTAAAACACCACTATAGTGTTGTACTATAGTAAAGTGTAATACACACTATAGAGTAGCAACTGTAGAATCACCACAGCAGATCAAGTACTGTAGATGTTGTTACCATAGCGACTGTAGAATCACCACAGCAGATCAGTTACTATAGTTGTCATGTTACCATAGCAACTGTAGAATCACCACAGCAGATCAGTTACTATAGTTGTCATGTTACCATAGCAACTGTAGAATCACCACAGCAGATCAGTTACTATAGTTGTCATGTTACCATAGCAACTGTAGAATCACCACAGCAGATCAATTATTATAGTTGTCATGTTACCATAGCAACTGTAGAATCACCACAGCAGATCAGTTACTATAGTTGTCATGTTACCATAGCAACTGTAGAATCACCACAGCAGATCAGTTATTATAGTTGTCATGTTACCATAGCAACTGTAGAATCAACACAACAGATTAATTCAAGTACGTTACTACAATACGGTTCATAAACATTGCAGTGTTTACTATAATTTACTACAGTATTTTTTTCATTGGAGATGCCAAAAATAAAACGATCAGCTGTTAATTGAGGGTTTTCAATGATATCTAGATTTGCTCCATTTCCTTTTAAACTACACTGAGTCAAGCATCTTGTCAGAAAATGAGTAAAGATATGTAATGTGTAGTTAGTGCTGTGGTACGGTGTGTATATGCATTGTACAGGACTGTTTTTATTACATTGCTGGCTCTCTGACAGACTGCTTTTGTAAGTCACTCCAGATAAAAGTACAAGGATGACTGTAAATTTACTCTTGTTAAACATGATTGTGTGTGTTTCGTGTGTTCAACAGAAGAAGAAGGGCGGTATGGAGACTGATGACTTCAGAGCCTGTCTGATCTCTATGGGATATGATCTGGTAAAAACTCCCACAGTACATAATAATAATAATAATAATAATAATAATAATAATAATAATAATAACAATAATAATGATAATAATAATAATAAAAATAATGATGATAATAATAATGATAATAATAATAAAATAATGATAATAATAATAAAAATAATGATATTAATAATAATAATGATGATGGTAATAATAGTAATAATGATAATAATAATAATAATGTTATTAACAAAAATATTAATAATAATGATAATAATAATAATAATAGTAATGTTATTATTAATAATAATAATAATAATAATAACAATAATAATGATATTAATAATAATGATAATAATAATAATAAAAATAATGATGATGATGATAATAATAATGATAATAATAATAAAAAATAATGATAATAATAATAAAAATAATGATATTAATAATAATAATGATGATGGTAATAATAGTAATAATGATAATAATAATGATAATAATAATAATAATAATAATAATAATAATATTAATAATAACACAAAATAAAATTGACATAAAATTATAACATAACAATATTTGTTCTTCTGGAGAAAGTCTTATTTGTTTTATTTCGGCTAGAATAAAAGCAGTTTTAATTGTTTTAAGCTCAATATTATTCGCCCCTTTACCAATATTAGTGTTGGATTGTCTCCAGAACAAACCACTGTTATACAATGACTTGCCTAATTACCCTAACTTTACCCTAATTACCCTAGTGAAGCCTTTCCATGTCACTTTAAGCTGAACACTAGTGTCTTGAAGATTATCTAGTCTAATATTATGTGCTGTCATCATGGAGAAGAGAAAATAAATCTTATTAGAGATGAGTTATTCACACTATTATGATTAGGAATGTGTTGAAGAAATCTTACTGATATTGGGGAAAATATACAGGGGCCTAATAATTTTGACTTCAACTTCATATTCTAAGCATGTCTGATTAAAATTTCAAAAGAAAAATGTGTGTTGATGACTTTGAGAAGGTTTTATGTCAGAGGACGATGGTATTTCTTGTCTCTGTGTCCTGTGTGTGTGTTTAAGGGTGAAGCAGAGTTTGCGCGCATCATGGCTCTGGTGGACCCCAATGGTTCTGGAGTGGTGACGTTTCAGGCGTTTGTGGACTTTATGACCCGTGAAACTGGAGAATCTGACACGTCAGAGCAGGTCGTCGCCTCCTTCAGGATTCTGGCCGCCGATAAGGTCAGTTCACACACACGTTAAATGTACATTAAACACTTACAGAACATCTTAAGACACCAAATAATAGAATATGTACAGTGCTCAGCATTATTGAGCACACCCCATTTTGAAAATTAATATATTTTTATCAATTTCTCAGTGAATATAGGTCATATATAATGCTCAGAAAAATAAACAACACAATGTAACTCCACGTGCTCCCTTTATTTTTCTGATCAGTGTATTTTGTTTTATTTTTTGAAAGTTGTTGTGTTTGTACACATTGCACAATAAAAATAATTAAATTAAAATAAAGAAACAAACGGAAAGGCGGAAGTTAAGTACTGCAGTTGTCGCTAGAACAGATATGGTTGTGGCTGGAAGTTAGAAAGAATTATTTATATTATTTATTAAACTTCTCATTAATTGTATTTTTTAACGTCTACCCCAAACCCTCACAGTAATTTAAAAATATGAATTATCAAAAATGATGCAATATTGATGTGCATATCTGCAGCTGTATCCCTTCTAGACTTTATAGCAGTAGGTAATTCCACTACTGTCATTATCCTAGCATGCACATGTGTCCCAATGTGTGTGTGTGTGTTTCAGCCGTATATTCTACTGGATGAGCTGCGGCGTGAGCTTCCTCCAGAGCAGGCTGAATACTGCATCTCCAGGATGCCTCCATATAAAGGACCTGACGCTGTTCCTGGAGCTCTGGATTACGCTGCGTTCTCCACTGCACTGTACGGAGAGAGCGACCTCTAGAGGCCAGCGGATAACGCTGAAAACACATGCATGAGATTAGACTCCCACCAAAAGTATTGCGGTCACGGATTGAATAATAGTCTCAGTTCTGAAGTTCAAATCAGCCTTAAATCAGCCTTTAGGCCGAGTAAAAATATGTCTTGATCCAGGAGTGCGATACCTCATTCATCCACTGTGTGTCAAACTTACATACTGCACCTTTAAATCAATCACATTTAGGTCATCAATTATTCATAATTCATTCATTCAATTGTTGTTTTCATATTTGGACAATAATTCATTATGAGAAATATCTTCATCCTGTCTAAACGGAGACAAAAAAAAATTGCTAAATCTTACAGAGGAATTAGTAAGCAGGAAAGGGTGCTAAATTTTGCACCTATTGCACCTATTTGAGCAGAAATGATGAGCAAACATGAATGTTGTCCAGATTCGTGCTCTGGAAAGCAGTCTATAGTCCTCTAAATGTTCTTACTTCAGTCTGACCGATGAGTTCAACCCAAAACATGATAATAATTGATCATTTTCAGCAGGAATAATCAGCTGAATATCTGAGTTTTGTTCAGATCTGTGGCTTTGTTTACATTCTGCTCGCCAATATGGCCTCCCATACTCCATCCTCAAAACAACCCCACAGTAAATAAAGTTAGATTCTTCAGAAAATTACAGACAATTCATTCATTCATTTTCTTTTCAGCTTAGTCCCTTTATTAATCTGGGGTCGCCACAGCGGAATGAACCGCCAACTTATCCAGCATATGTTTTACACAGCGGATGCCCTTCCAGCAACAACCCATCTCTGGGAAACACCCATACACTCTCATTCATACATATACACTACAGACAATTTAGCCTACCCAATTCCCCTATAGTGCATGTGTTTGGACTGTGGGGGAAACCGGAGCACCCGGAGGAAACCCACACCAACACGGGGAGAACATGCAAACTCCACACAAACGCAAACAGACCCAGCCGAGACTCAAACCAGTGACCTTCTTGCTGTGAGGTGACAGCATCGCCTACATACAGTTATCAGTTATTATTTCTACTTTACCCAGGCTATACAGCAGTATATGTACAGTTTTGTTTTCCAGTAGTCAAATAATGAAACCTCAAAAATGTAAATATTTAAATGTTTGATTTGTGCCTATTATTTTTTGGTCCGTGACCACAACACTTTAAGCAGGACTTTAATCAAATACACCTGGAGTTCATGGTCCTTCATACCATGCAGAAATGATTTAGATATGTGTGTGAACTAACCCTTTAAATGATCCAGGATCTGGCCCCTGTGTTCAGCCAGTTTATCACTTATTCTGAACCATGACAGCTTTTAGTTAATATCAGGTTTATCAATCCACTGGAAATAAATTACAGTTGTTTAAAAAATCTGAACCCTTTTCTTCCAAAATAAAATAAAGTGCATTATAAATGAAGAACGGTTTGACCTGTTTTTCACTTCATGCATGAAAAACAAGTGAAAAATCTGCCAGTGCAACACCACTACATTAGTAAAGATGTTCTACAAACAAGCGTCTCTGTGTTTATTCTCATGCAATCATATTCATTCATTCATTCTCTTGTCGGCTTAGTCCCTTTATTAATCTGGGGTCCCCACAGCGGAATGAACCGCCAACTTATCCAGCAAGTTTTTTTACACAGCGGATGCCCTTCCAGCTGCAACCCATCTCTGGGAAACATCCACACACATACACACACACACACTACGGACAATTTAGCCTTCCCAATTCACCTGTACCGCATGTCTTTGGACTGTGGGGGAAACCAGAGCAGCTGGAGGAAACCCACACAAAGGCAGGGAGAACATGCAAACTGAACACAAAAACGCCAACTGAGCTGAGGTTCGAACCAGCGACCCAGCGACCTTCTTGCTGTGAGGCGACAGCACTCCCTACTGCGCCACTGCCATCATATTCAATTGTTTTATTTGTTCTACATTCTGGATGCCCTATCTTAAATTTAATAAAGACAGCAGAATCCTCCTTTGGCTTTATTTCTCAGCCAGAGTTTAGTTTAGGACCATCCTTTGTAATGTTGTTCAAGGAAAAAAAAATATTCTTACTTTTCCACACAGGGTAATGATGGATTCTGCAAATGAAGCCAATGTTCACTCCAGTGAAAAACATTAATTAAACACACTTTATAAAATCAAATCCAGTAGAAAATAAGAATAACAACAAAACAAAATCCTTTATCATCTGTTCAAAATAAAGGGCTTAAGACATTAAATATAGAGAAGTCAGAGAGCTCAATGCAGGTCTGTAAATCCCAGCCTTTTATAACCTTCATGCATAAATATAAAAAAGCTGCTTTAGACTATATCAGAAAGCTTTTGGAAACAGCTACCTCAGGAAAAGCTCAACAGAGAATATCACTAAACGTATAAATCATTTGGCCAATCTCAGGGTTATTCCGGCAAAGTCATGCTTTTCAGCTGGACAATGAGCTCATAAATTGCAGGTAGAGTTTCCACATTACTAGCAGACAGTCCGCTTGTCCTTCGTGCTCTGTCGGAGGTGCCTCTCCTTCTTACCTGTTGTCTCATCGCTAATAACCGTTTTCTTAAGCATATAGGGACATCCGAATACATACAGCTGGTCAGAATTATTAGCCCCCCTTTGAATTATTATTATTAATTTTTTTTTAAATATTTCCCAAATTATGTTTATCAGCAAGGACATTTTCACAGTATGTCTGATAATATTGTAATATTAATCTGGAGAAAGTCCTATTTGTTTTATTTAGGCTAGAATAAAAGCAGCTTTATTTTTTTTTACCACCACGTTAAGGTCAATATTATTAGCCCCTTTAAGCTATATATATATCTTTTTAGTAGTCTACAGAACAAACCATCGTTATATAATAACTTGCCTATGTAACGGAGGCCAGCTAGCGTGTGCTGTGCAGGTAAACCTCACTCCTCTGACCTCTAAAGGTGCTCTAGCGACTAATGTTAAAGGATATGGTCTTTAGCCTCCTTGGTAGAGCAACTGACTCCCATGCAGAAGATCGCAGGTTTGATACTAGCTCGGAGCGGGTTGGGTGGTGGGTAGGTCCGGCGGGATTACACCTAATTACCCTAGTGAAGCCTTTAAATGTCACTTTAAGCTGTATAGAAGTGTCTTGAAGAATATCTAGTCTAATATTATTTATTGTCATCATGACAAAGAGAAAATACATCAGTAATTAGAGATGATTTATTAAACTGTTACGATTACAAATGTGCTGAAGAAATCTGCTCTCAGTTAAACAGAAATTGGGGGAAAAATAAAGGGGGGCGAATAATTCTGACCAACTGTAAGTGAAGTTTTCTGTCTTTTTGCAATTAATGTCATTTAACCAACCAGACACTACAACATGTTTGTTTTAGGTAAAACAAAAGCACATTATATGCATGTAAATGTTGCTGAAATAATGTGGATCATCATTCAGTGTAACTGATGAATCTGTCAAAAATAAAGTACTTATTGTTTGATTTATGTTAAAGCATTGCTCAGAATAACATGATGATACTAAAAGTGATTCTGCTTCAAATAATTTTAAAAACTTCAGCAAAGGTGTGATTTTCTGAATGTTTAGACAAATGCAGAAATAAAATATTGAGGAAATAAAAACATTTAATTCTGAGGATTGTTATTTTTCGAAAAATTTAACTTTGAACTTGAAAA